TGTCTCTCAGGAGCTATTCCTATTCCTCATTCGTAGTCCCCATTCCTTCTCTCCAATAAATTCTGCTACAAGAAAGAAAGAAAGAAAGAAAGAAAGAAAGAAAGAAAGAAAGAAAGAAAGAAAAGAACTAATGAGTGAACTAAATGAACCTGTGACAGAAACGCAGAAGTATGGAAGTGGCAGAACACAGAGTTGATGAAGGAAACCAAGAACTTACTTACCTTTGCATTCCTTGTACATCAAACCATGCCTGGTACACAGGTGGTGTTCAATTAACACCCAACTGGGTTAGAGCTCAATCACCTATCATAATATCCCAACAGTACAGCGCTCCAGGGGCACAACGGGTGAGGGTGCGGTACTGATACAGTAGCGTAGCTGCCTGCCTCACGCATGCTGAGCTCCCATTTCTGCTGCATAAATGCTGCAATGAGCAGGACTTCAGCCAAACGGTGAAGAGGCTACACAGCTTCCAGCAGAGGTGCCTAAGTCCCTCTCAGCACTTCAAAGACACCTCCCCACACCCGATAACCAAACCCTGTATTATATGTTTCATGACTCTTTAGTGAGTCATTAAATTAAAATGATGACTCCTAGCCAACATATACTTCTCATAAATATGAGAAGGGAAAGAGTAAATGTAATAGAAGTATCTGAATGCCTCACATACGTAGGCATTCATTATTTTATGAAGGGTTTGTGTTAGAAATGTAGATATTATTACAATATGTGAACATGTAAACAGAATTCCTTATTGTTGATTAAAGCCTAGAAACTTTAAACATTTCTATAATAAAAGATCAGAAAACAACAATAGTTAGAGCAAGGACTTCTGGAGTTGCGGAAGGTTGAGTACCAATTCTGCCATTTATGTGCTTCATAATCTTGGCGAGCTGTTTTATCCCTCTAAGCCTGCTTGCCCATGTGGGCAATGAGGGCACTAGACCTGAACAACACAGACCTGCTAGCCAGTAAACACTGCAGGATGACCTCACAGAGTCTCTTACGAGGATCACCCAATGCTGTGAGCATTTGGGGTCTCGGGGTTGAAGAGGCGGGTTGCCTCTGTGACATCACACATTCAGATTTGTAAGATTCACAGGATCCGTTTGGAAAGAACTGACCCTTACCTCCATAAGCACAGCATTTGGTCCTTTAATACCTATGTTGGGGTTTTATGGTGACATACTCAACAGCAACCAAATGCCCAAATGTTGGGATAACAACCAGGGTAGGAAGTAGGGAAGGATTCTTTTTGGAAACAGTATTCAGGCTTGGACAAATCTAATGTTCTAAAGTTGCGGGACAGCAACAGCACTGAGAGGTCTACCTCCGCAGCAGCTGCCAACACCAAAGCTCCAAGGTCCCTATCATGGTTCAGGCAGAAGCTTCAGGAAGAAGGGACAAAGACTTCTTGCTGTCCCTCCAGAACCCATGACTTCCAAGAGCAATGGTCTCCCCCACCCTCCAGACCTCCCTTTTCTGCCAAGCACCCAAACACTAGCACCAACTCCAACGGTGCTCCCAAGGAGGGAACCATCCTCCTGGCATCTCTTTTTAGCCCCACATGGAAGGACAGATAAGGAAGGACATTAAGCCTGAAAAACTGAAATATCACTCAGGACAGGGAGGCGAACAGAGGTGTGTAGTGAGCCAAGGACAAAACAACAATGCAGAAATGCAAGGGAAGAAAAAAGTGACAGGGAGAGAAAGAACAATAAACAGGGTTGGGGGAGGTGTGAAGGTTTGTAAAAAGCAAACCAAAAGTTAAGCATGAAAACAGAAAAAGAGTAGAAGAGGTAACAGAAAAGGCTATCAGGACAAAAGACAGCCCTAAAGCAGAGACCACTATCCTCCCTCTCCTCAGGCCTGGTTCTCAGACCTGGCTTCTGCCAGGAATTCCAGGGCGAAGGCCTTTAGAGAAATAGGCTCCGCAAACTGATAAATCCCAATCTGGGATGAATAAATACACTCCATCGTGCCCACCACTGCCAAGTGCTACCTCAGGGGTCCCCACCTTGATCCTCTCTCAGATATGCTGCCCTACCCACCTTATAATTCCTATCATCCACAGTCTTGTCCCTTCGCACCCTCAGAGACATAATTTATCTGAGTCCCTATGCTGCATCCGCATCTGACATATTTGAGAGCATTCAGATAGTTTTCAGGTTTAGGCCTGTGTTTTGTTTATTTGTTTTTGCATTTCAGAGGCCTCAAGGATTAAAAGGCAGAGGCTATGGCCTTCACCTTGGTGTGGCATCCTAGGAACAGCCTGTCTATTGGCAGAGGGACTCCCATCCTGTCTTCCACTGCCGCTCCTGTCCTTAGGAGCTACCAAAGGATTTCGCCCTGGCACTTGCTGGCTTCCTGTCTGGATCTCTCCCTTGCCTCTTCTATCTTCCTAACCACAGGCAGGAGATTCAGTCAGTGCTTAGAGAAGATGAGCTAACACAGTTGCAAACCACTTGGAAGGGGCTCAGGGGACAGTCTTACCTCAAACCCCCTCGAATTAGAAGCCCTAGAAATAAATCCATACCCTTTCACCTAATCGAGAGCACGGCCAGGCCTGTTCCAGTTTTCTTATGCACCTTACTACAGCAGTGGCTGGAAGGAGAAAGATAAGAGAGAACCTCACTGCGCAGTGAGGAAACACCAGCAAATACCTGGTGGGTGAGGCTGCCGACGTCTCCTGCTCCTGGAAAGGAGCAAAGGGTCTTAGAGGTCAGGCACTCAGGGCTGAAGCCCCAGTGTTTGCGACTCAGGAAGAGAAGGTAGTGAAAAGGGAGGGAAGCCAGCACGTGGCCAGGTGGAGCCACAAGGACAAAAGTGAGGATAAGACCTCTGCTGTCCTCTGGTCTGACATCAGGGCCCAGGGCGGCACCTTGCTGTGCCACACCCCCCAGGCTGCCATATTCAATCACCAAAACCTGAGATTTCCCCTTAAAATGCAGATGGGGCATGTGGGATTAATTCTGTCTGGCCAGCCTGGCTCAGGTGGTGTTGGGGGTCACCGTGGATCACTTTGGGCTTCAAAGCTGTCTTTGAGGCAGAAATATAGAGCATCTTTGAGGATACCTGCTCTGACTGTGGCAAAGTGGACAAAATGCTTAAAAATACAAGAAAAGCAAGGGTCAGGACCCAAAGAGGCCTCATTCCCTGTTTCTCGGGACTCTCTGTGGGGTGCCTGTGTGCAGGATTTCTGCAGAAGATAGTCCATTTTGTTAAGCCTTTGAATATTCAAATTGAAAGTATCGCGCAATCATTGATTGTCAAATCATGGGTTTCTAGAGGTTTTAAATACTTGGCATGAGAGGGAAAAAACTCAAACCTATACCCGAAGGTATAAAACATTAATTCTGTGTGTCTCCTGCTCCGGGGACCTGGGTGCAGCTGGATGCTTTGTGAAACTTTAAAAATGTCGCATCTCTGCCTTTCTCCCTGCACAGGAGCTTCCCAGGGCTGAGTCCCTGCAGCTGCAGCATCCAGGCTCTGACCCAGCTCCTGCAGACCACGATGTCCGGTAACTCAGCTGCTTCTCGGGGTCGGGTCCTGTGGGCCAGGGGCCTTTCGATTCGGGTGTGTTTCCACAGCTTTTCCTGCATGCAACAGAGAGATACAAAGTCAGGGCACGAAAAAGAGGGCCGGGCAGGGACCCAGCAGGGCGCGGGCCACGCGGCGGCTCACACTCGGTGCCTACTCCCTAGGGCAGGCAGAGGCCCCAAGGCCGACTTGTGGCCGCGACAGCCGCGTACCCCAGCCCCACGCTCGCCCGCCCCCTTCACCGCGCGTTCCGGGCTTCGCGGCGCAGACCTTGCGCGACCAGGAGCGGCGGCGGGGGGGAGCTAGAGGCTCGCGGTGAGCTGGGCGCGCCCGCGACACACGGCTGGGCTGCGGCGGTCTCCGTGCGACCCCGAGCCGAGTCGAGCCCAGCCCCGCCGCCCGCGGAGCCCGAGCCGAGCACGGAAGAGGGGAAAGGGGACTAGACGGCGCGGCGTCCGCACCGCGGCTGGGTGCGGGAATCCCGGGCCCAGGCGAGGGGTAGCAGCTCCTGCCTCCTGCAGGGACCCTCGGCTCCCGGCCTCCGGCCTCGGGCCCGCGAGTAGGGGTCTCCGGCCGCGTCGCTGCGCTCCCTGCGGTGACCAGGCGAGGCGCTGCTGCCACCGTCGCGGACGCGCAGGCCAAACGCGCAGCCGCCCGCATCCCCGCCGCCCCCACCGCGCGAGCCCCCGCTCGGGGTCAGGATCCGGGCCGGAGTCTCCGGGCTTCTGCAGCCGCCCCACCCCGCCGCGACAGCGCGCCTGCCCCACACCGGCCGGCATGAGCGCCGCGCGACCTACTCACTGCGGCTCCGCGGGCCGGGCCGCGCAGTCCCGGCTCCCGGCACCGGGGTCCCTCCCCGGGACCCCGCCGCTCTCCCAGGTCGCTCCGGCGTGCGGGGCCAGAGCAGCCAGGCCCCGCCAGCTCAGGGGCGGCCCCTTCCGGAGGCGGCCTCCTAATAACTGACGGCCTCGGGATCCCCGGAGGCTTTCGCCTGAGGCGGCCTGCTCCCGAAAGGGAGGGGTGGTGGGAGAGGGACAGCAGGGGAGAGCGGAACCGGCGGAGGGAGGAGGAGGAAAAGATGGAGAGCACACAAGGCGGAGAAAGAACAGGGGAAAGAAGAGACGGATGGGAGGGAAGCCGGGAGGGAGATCCCTGGGCCTGGCCTCTTTGCTGGGGTCAGTCCCGGGGTGCGTTGGGGACTCAGGACCGGCTGGCCAACCCCGGGGCCTGCCCCTGAGCTGGCTTCCAGACCAAGGATATGTAGCACGGTCTCTCAGAAGCCGGGTCTGGCCCCGTGCAGAAGGAACTGACAACTTCACGCTGACCACATCGCATCACGGTGGGGTAGGCGCGGTCCAAGGCTGTGACTCAGAATGCCCCTGGGGCCCATTACCTTCGAGTCCTCCAGAGCCCCGTAGGCCCTCAGCTTTTACTTAGCCAAGGTGGTAGGTTCCTGGGGAATAGCCTCCGCATTCCTGAGCAGAACAACCTGAGTGCTAATCTGGGTTCCATCCCACTGAAAACTACTCGGCCTCTTTTTGTGTTTTCATTCACTCTGCATTCTCCAAATCTAGACACTTGGTTTTGGACTCTGTCACCTATAGCGGATACGCTCAGGCCACCGCCAGACACCCAAACCTTGGACCTGATCACTGACTCATTTTCCTTTCCCCAGAAAAACCGAAGGTGTATCAAGGTGTCCGGGTAAAGATCACAGTGAAGGAGCTGCTGCAGCAGAGAAGGGCACACCAGGCAGCCTCAGGGGGAACCGTAAGCACGAACCCCCTCCCTCCCTCCCTCCCTTCCTCCCTCCTTCAGCCTTGTGCCTTGGAAGGGGTGAAGGCCACGTGAGAGCAAGCCTTGCCCAGCTGTTACAGTAGCTCTGTGGCCCCTGATTCCTCCCATTACACAGGATGCCACAGAGAGCAGGCGGGGCCTGGCGTGGGGCTCAGGACTTGGGGAAGAAGACATTCCTTACTGGTTAAAATCGAGTATAAAAGGCATATCGATGTTCTGCAGGCACAGCCAGCCAGCAGCTAAGCAGATCAATACTGTATTAGGGAGACAGTGTAGGCACACTACTCAGACTCATAGAAAATCTCTTTCAGAAATCCATCTCAGTTTGGGGAGCCCCTCCAGGTTAACATCTCTGTGGAACATCCTTCACTCTCTCCTCATCCTTCGAGAACTCAGCCTCTGAGATCATTTTGTAAGTTGCCAGTCACTAAAGGAAAGTCCTCAGGCCCATAAGATGTTGTAAAGCCTTAGGTAGTTCCAGTGTATTACAAATTTGATCTGGGCTGTTATAAGCAGCTGCCACTGTATATACATACCTTCCTAAAGCAGATATGTATGCCAGCAGCACTCAGGGAGGGCTACAGCAAGCAAATCAAATAAACCGAGTGAGGTTTTTCCCGAGGAGAGGACAGCTCCTTGCTGAGTGCCCTCCTTGGTGTGGAGGCTGTGTCAGACAGACAGGGCCTGATAGGGTTGGGTTACCCTGTGGATATCTTCCTTGCAACAGTTTTTTTTGTGCCTAGTGCTGTTTGTATCCAGTGTAGGACTTAAAAATGCCCTTTGGCAGTGGATCTCTTGACCAGGGAGGAGACACATAAGGAAGCATGGTAAGACTCCAGATGAACAGGGCTCAAACCTCAGCTCCTCCGTGGTGCATAGCGTCCAGCAAATTACTCAGCCTCTCCTGCCTGCTTCTCCTTCTCCTTAAATTGGAGATAATGTGAAGGGTTACATTAACCACTGCCTATAAAGCACTCAGAAGAGCATTTGCCACATGCTAAATACATCATTATTTGGGAAGGGAACTAAAACACAACCAAGGATGGAAAGCCAGATATTGAAAAACACACAGTATACTCTTTGCTCAGAATTTAGAGCTATAGAGTAGGTTAGCTGTGAATTGGTACATACAGACAGAGAGCTTAGTATTTCTAGCTGCAGATAGGTAACTTCAGGTAACAGTGACGTTTCCTTACAAGTGTAGAGAGTTTTTTGGTGATTAATTCTTTTAACAGCCAGGGAGAGATAAGTATAAAAAGTCTTCTCATTGTTGGCTCTCCAAATGCATCTTTCTGCAGATCTGTCCATACTAACCAGGAGTCTGGTAGCCTCAACTCCTTCAATGTAGAGGTGGTTACACAATTAATAAAATTAGATCTAGAAGAAACTGGAAAATGATGCTGGAGTCAAAGTAAAAATGAAGATGATGGCTACAAAACATAATCATGCACTCGAGAAGAGCTTTGGTACTTGGTAGCATGCTATTAAACCTATACCTAGAGAAGTTTGTTGCTCTGGGATCCTTACAGATTGATTTTACCAGGGTTTCCCTGTTAGCAAGCTGCAGGATCTGAAGCATTTCACTTGTGTATCTGACTAGCTTCTCTTCCTTGGGCCAATATCACATCTTTTTCTGAACCTCCCCTCCCCCCAACCATGAGAAGTTAAGGCAGGACTCATGAACTGGTGCTTTGCAGGAATGGTGCTTTGCCTCCTGGAAGATTCCATCGGATCATTTCCTCACAAGCATGAAGAAGTACTGCACATATAGTTGCAGTGGGAAAGCCAGATGCAAAATTTATCACTGGGTACCAAGGGAAGGATCTAGGCTCCTAGATACGCTGAAGAGTGTACTCCGTAGGCAAGGAAGGGGCAGCTACGGGAGGATAATTTATGCCTGTTCTTTGCGGTAGACCTTTCTAGTTTAACACATTGTCTCCAATTCGACTGTTGGATGACATCCCTGGGAAGCTTTACATCAAGGAGAGAATTAACTGTATCAAACACTACACAGCAAGAAGAATTGTTTCTTATAGAGCCGGAGTAGGACCTCCACTTTAGAATTCTAAGAAGGCAACCATGGACAGAATTTGTACACTGAGACAAATACCCAAGTTTCAAGTTATCCTAGCAGAAACTATGCCTGCCAGACTGGTAAATTTAATTTTTAAAATGCTTATTTCAGCCAGATCAATTTACAAACACATGAACCACCCATGCACATGCATGGATAAAGAGAAATTTCAGTTAGTACTTATCAAAAGATATAATTTACTTTTCTTTTTTCCCCACCATTAGTTTTTTTTTTTTTTTTTTTTAAAAAAAAACAGCCTTGATGTGATCTTCTCAGTTGTAGATTGCGGTTTTTTATGCTGTTTGAAATCTAAGAGAGGTAACTTTCTTTGTATTGGAGTGAAGTAGAAAGTGAACCCATGACTAGAAAGATAAGATCAAGTAGGATATTGTAAACATACCTCGGGAGATAACAACAGGATAACAAGGAGGCAGGCAAACAGGCCATGGGGGGGGGGGGTAGCATGGTTAAAGAGCTCTACAGTGAAACAGATTTTTAAAACCCACTCCTTCCAAGTCCTTTAGCTGGAGCTACAGCCAAATATTTGCATAAAGAGGTAGTAAAGGCTTCCAGTTTCCTGGTTCATGACATTACAGCATGGATTATTTTCAAAATTAACACCAACTCCTATTTCAGCAATGGCTGGTTGTGATGTTCTTGCAGTAGCTCAGTGTACGGGAGCGAGTAGCCTCTGGGGCCCAAGAGCCACCTGGCTTCCTAGCCCACAAGCCCAGGCTATGCCAGTCCCTTTAAACTTTAAAGCCACGGCCGAAATCTAAAAAAAATAAAAAATAAAAAATTAGTATAGTTATCATTCCACTGGAAATTATAGGCTGCTTTACTTTCAATAGTTAAAATGAGCAGTGTCATAAACTTTTAAATACTGTAATGAAAAAGCAAATTTATAAAAATGACAAAAACATACAAAGAGTTGAAATATTTCCTAACAATGAGCCAGAACTTTTTGATATGCTCCAATTCACTGACGGCAGCATTAAGAAAATGTTTTCTATTTTAATAGTTCATTGATAATAAGAACATGTGAAAATTTTTAGCCACTCTGGTTTGAAAATTTAAGCGTTGTATTCTTTATGGAACATGAATTCCTGAGACAAAGAAACCAGATTATATAGGAAATTTTTTAGGGAGCTGATTGACTAAGTCATAGTTGGATTAAATAAATATTAGTCCTTACTTGCAAATTGAATAGATTAATAGAAGGGCTTTTTGCTGAGTTTTCTTGAGCTATTACACTTCTGTAACAAAAAATTATTTGCATTAATTTGTAAATCAAAATGAACAACTTAAAACTGAAGAAAGGAATCTGACTTTAGAAAAACAATTTCCCAAGCAAGCAAACACAAAAACTGAATCCAAATAAAATATAGCATTCATTGTATGTTTTGAAAAAATACCTATTTTTTTTTAGAAGAAGGAACCTGGCTTACCGTGTAGAAGGCAACTTAGCTCCCATCAAAAATAGCTTAGCTTCTGTATGGAGCTCCTGCGCTGCTTTTTGCTTCAGAGTCATGTTCTTGTCTTGGCAGCTGCCCGGAGGCACCAGCACCCACCTTTCAGAGCCAGTGGCGCCGTCCTCTGCAGGTCAGTACAGCCAGCACTGCAGCTCCTTCAACCCCTCTGGCAAAAGTCCTTCTTGAAACCTTTTCAGTGCTTGATTCAGGGGTTAAGATAGGCACCACCATTTAATTGGAATTCAACCAATCAGAAAGTGAACAAGGCATAGTGGCTCCAGATGCAAGCCCAGCAAGGGAGCAAGTGCGATTTTCTGTCCTCCTCTCTGAACTGTCTATTCTCTGCTGTCTGAACTGTCCCAAGACTTTGCTCCCATTTTTTTTCCAGTTCCTTACCTCCAAGTAACCAAACTTAACTATAAAATTCAAACTTTTTCAAGAACTTCTTTGTCTTTTAGAACACTCTTCAGTGGAATACTGAAAATCCTGAACACTAGCATAATGACTTTGCTCTTGTTCGGTGAGCTTCCAGCCAACAGGGGCTTCCCTCCCCATCTTTTCTCTCTTCCCAGAGAGCAGTTCAAACAAGTGTAAGTTTTCCCAGCTCAATCAGCATAACTCTATTGCATAAACGTACCTCCCTATGCTACTCAGCAGCTAAAAGGTCATAAATAAGGAAGCCTGTGTTTATGGAGAATTTCCACTGAATGTGTCACTTCAACTAAACCTTAAAGGAACTTGACACTTCAAAAAAATCCAGTGTCCTATATCCTCTTTGGTGGGTACACTCTTAAGTGCTCAAAACCTGTCTTCTTTGAGCACTTAAGAATAATCATACATTGATTCTATTGATGCTGAAATGGCAAAGGACTGGTGTTTTCCAAATTATTCTTGTTTAGTATTTAAGACATTTTGCTACATTATTGTGTTCACCTGTGTACTATGAAAATACTTCTTTTGGTAACCTTCAACAAGTAGTAATAATTCATACTCTACATTTCTGGCTTCTGCTTTTATCATTTCCATTTCTGTTTATGTATAAATCACTTTTCAAAATCCTTGATTCGAAATTTTGGTTATTAAGCATGAAAAGGTTAGGAAAGCAATACCCCTGAATCAAGAGAATTCTTTCCAGTGGCATCGGAGTTTTTTCAGAGCCCCAAACAGATCTGTCAGTGACTGCTGAGAGGTTTATTTAAACTTCAGATAAGGACTGGATGTTAATGCTTTTATAGCAGACTCGGGCTAGCAGAGTGAAAACTTGGATGTGGATTGAGCCATCATACTTTGTTTGATGGCTCAAGCCGTGTTGATGTCCCCTTGCTACGTTATTAATCATGCTAATTTCATTGGCACTGGAATTTAAGACAACTAAAAAGTCCCAATGGAGAAAACTCCGTTCAAATCCATTTGGCAATTTTATAATCTTTTTTTTTCTCCTGTAGGACTCTACTTTGAGCCTGAACCAATGTCTTCCACACCCAATTACTTTCAACCCCGAGAATTTTCCACTTGTATATCTTGTGAAGAAAACTCAACCTGCCTGGACCAGATCTTTGATTCGTACCTTCAGACTGAAACATTCCCAGAGCCCTTGCTCAACTCCACACCTAATGCTCCATGTTACCTACCAGACGGCTTCCAGGCCACCCCTTTCTGCTTTAACCAGAACCTGGTAATTTACCTTTGTTTTTGTATAACCTGATTGTTGCTAACTATGGAGTAGTAATGCTTTGTAAAAAGTTTGCATCACCTCCGGAGGAATCATACAAATGTTATCAAGGAAATGACCAGAGAGCCATTGATAGTGTAGTGTACAGAGATAGCCTCTTCTTGTTGCAGGGCATAAACCTTTGATACACACTTCACTATAATTTCACATGATAGGTGGCAATAAAAAGGTTTTCTGCCAATACTCTGTGTTTTAAACTGCAGTTAAGACCTCTCCTAATTGGGAAATGACTGGTTTACTCAATGGCTCTTGGACTTTTGAGTGTTTGAAAATAAAACTAAGGTTCTAGCTACTCCCAAACATCATTGTGAAAGGGGAATTGAGTTGGGTTGGTTTAGTCCCAGAACTGGCCTGACTAACTGGTTGCTTTTGTGTCCTGTAGGCACGAGAACTCATGTGGCCAGAGATAGCGAGTAAAAATGAAGCCCTAATTGTTGCAAGAATTTGAATTATCTGTTCCTTAGTGGTCTCCAGTACTCAAAATGTTATTTTTTAAGATGATGCAAGGTTTCCCTAAGATCTACTTATCTGAATAGCTAATGAGTTTAGATATCTTTTTCGAGACTTACAATTTCTTCAAATCTTCAAGTGTAAAGTTATAAAGTTTTTAAGAAATGTGAATACTTTTCAGTGTATCAAATATCTATCTGTGTAGGCATCAGACTAAATTTTAGAGGGAATAGAGAATTAACTGCAGAATATGCATATCATTGCTGGGCTGTGTCATCCAGCCCCTTCTAGCCTCCAAATTAGGCTTTCTCCTGTGGACCTTTCCCCTCCAAGTTAGGCTTTCTCCATGACAACTGTAGACCACCTGAGAGAAGACACTCAGTACCTTGCTCCTGGGGGCACAAGGCCTTAGTGGCAGGAAGCATACTCAGCTTGGGTAGCTCAGAGGCAGTGTCTTAGAGGGTCCAAGTTCTGCCTCTGCATGGTGTCCTAGTCCCTCACAGTCCAGGGTGTGGAGAATATCCAGGGTGCCACCTGCAGCTTATATTGTGGCACACAGCAGGATTTAATGTGCAGGTGACCTAAAGGACAATGGGATTTTGTGGTTTAAGAACAAAACATCCTCCAAAGTATGGCTACAACAAAGGAAGTCAGTGAAGCAAGGCAATTGATTGTTGGGGAAAAAATAGGCAAATACAGAGTGTGGTGACACAAAATCATGCAGTCAACAAATAAAATTACTTCTCCAGACTTGGGTTGGGTATTTGTTGTTTTACCCCTACTTCTCTTACCCAGGGTTAATAAATCCACACTATGCAGTTCTTTTGATCCTGTCTAAGTTACCAAGCTCTTTGTTTATTGCTTTTCTCTTCTCTAGACCCCAGGATCACCTTCAGATTCCTCCACTCTCTCTGGCTCCTTAGACTACAGTTACTCACCAGCTCAGCCGCCTTCATATGCTTCAGAGAATTATAGTTCTCCCCCTTCTTTGGATGCGCTAAACCATGGCTACCCCCAGGAAGACTGCTCCTACCACCACTTGCCCTCGCACACCCAGTACAGCTGCTTCTCCACCGCCACCACCTCCGTCTGCTGCTGTGCATCCTGCGAAACGGAGCACTGGGAGGCCCTCCAAACAGCAGAAAGCTTCTCCCCAAGTGCAGACTGGGTGGAATTTGCCCCCTTAGCAGCCTCCTCCACTGATTTCTACAAAAGGGAAACAAACTGTGACATATGCTACAGTTAATAGAAATTATGCCATTTGGAACATGGCGTGGGCATATCTACTTTTCTGCCATACCTAGATGACACTTCAACATATGCAGCCTGTTCACAAGATACACAAGCACAGTTTACATGTCACTGCTTTCTATTTTCTGATGCTAAAGTCAGCATTAATGTCAAGTCCTTGAACCTGGTCATAATGCCTACTTCATATGCTGTGAGTTATGATTGTAGGTGACTTTCCATTTACTTTTCTGTGTAACCAACTAATTTTTTCTCTTTTTTAAACTAATAAATAATTTTGTATGAACTGTATTTTGGGTTATGTTTTTTAATTTCCCATTGTACTCTGATTTGAATATTATCATTTGGCCAGGAAATCATCAACTACACTTGAGTGGTTTCATCTTACTTATTTATGACCATAAAATTATTTTAATGTGGTAAGATGCCTTTGTTGCCACAGAATGGGACAGACATGCAACAAGGAAGTGAGTTCCTGCATGAAGTGAAGATGTACATTTTAGAACAGCATCAGAATAAGTCATGAAGGCAGGCCTGGTGGCACATGCCTGTAATCCCACCACTCTGGGAGGCTGAGGCAGGAGGATCACAAATTCAAACCTAGCCTGGACAATTTAGCAAGACCCTGACTCAGTAGCTCAGTATAAAGGATCTAATCTCAATCACAAAAGGAAAGAGAAGTAAGGGAAAGGAAAGAAAAGCAAAAAGGAAGAAAAAAAAAGGGAAAAAAAGGAAGAGAGAGACAGGGATGAAACATTAGCTTCTCCCATCTGATATTAGCCAAAGAAATGTTAATATGATCAAAACCCACAACTTCATCACAGCATTGCAATGAAGATTGTTTCCAAAGCACTATTATGTTAATCGTTTTGTCAAGTACTCTGGCTTTTTACCCTTGGGCGTAACCGTATCATTTCAAATTTTAGTTACCTTGTATTTCTGCGTTTCTGCCATAGATTCTTTAATATGCATCACTTATGTTTACAAATTGATTTTTAGTATTATGTCGTTTACAGCTGGTTGGCAGAGTTTACTTCCTCCAACTCATCTATTTGAAGAAATCTTCTGATGCTATTCTAAAAGGAGTTACTAACGCTACCTGCACTAGGATATACCATTTAATCTTATTTGCTGAAGGTCATTACAACAAAGGATTAATCACTTTAGTGCAGCCCAGAGGACATTTTCTGAGTCTCAAGCTTCACACCAAGGCAGCAACACAGGCACCATTAGCACTGGCCACCACCATTCTCAGCCCCCCTCGTGTGCCCGAATTCTCTGCAGGGTTTCCATCTCACGCATTTTTTTTTTTTGCTTATTTCTTTTTTTTCCCATAATTTTATTGAGAAACAAATAGCAATGAGACAGTTTCAAACCAAATTGGTAGGACAGTATCAATAATTAACACATTCTCTTAATGAACAGAGGGATTTGTTCTAATGGTGTTTGTAAATAGGATATCATGTCCGCATCTGGTACAGCAATTAACCACTAGGAAGAATGTATGCAATGTGTTAATTATTGAAACTGACCTACCAATTTGGTTTGAAACTGTCTCATTGCATTTTAATCTTCGTTACAATACTGATAGTGAATTGAGGTGGTGACACAGAGAATTTAAGTCCCCTGCCCAGAGTTGCCTGCCCCATCCATCCCCAAGCCTGGATGTTAAAAAATCCTGCTCCTTAAGCTCCCATAATGTCAAGTTTGAGCCATCGTGTATCGAAGACTGTAGGAACATGTGGAGGACGGAGTCAGACACCCCAGAAGGGCCAGGCTAAGGCAGGAATCCAAGAGGCCAAGCACAAGAGCGCCGCTCGCTCGCATCCTTTCAGTGTGGGAAACGGGGTGTGGGGGCGAGCAAATGCAGAGCCCCCGCCTCAGTGCGCTTCTTCCTATCAGGAGACGGATATGCTTTCAAAATGCCATTAATTTTCCTCTCCCTGGGGACTTAACTAAGGCCTGGGCAAACACGACAAGCTCCAGCCTGCCTCGTGAAAGGGTCATGCCAGGGAAACAGAACAATTGCTGCCTTTCTGAGATGCCAATAAAACTAAAATTTTAATGGCTTGGAATTGAAACTGGCCCACTGTCAAATATCTGTTCACACAGACCAAAGCCCCTGCCTGTTCTCCTCCCATCCCCAGCTGTGGTCCCCAAAGGCGAGGGGGCAGAGAAACTAAAGATGCCCAGTGGTTGGCACCAATGTCGCCTTTCCTGGAAACCAGCCTTCTTCAAAAATACAGTCCCCTTCAGTCATCTACCTTCTGAATCCACTAGCTTACAGGACTAACAGGTGAGATTTTCGAAGCCCTCATTTTCTTTTCTTTCTGCTTCTCATAGCTTTTATTAGATCTAGTATGGAAAGTGCTTCAGAGAAATGTGAGCCTACGGTAAATAGAGGTAAGGTGCATGGCAATGTATAGCTCCACCATAATGTAGTCCTTAAGAAATTCACAGATACTGAGGCAGATAGGTCACCTGTCACCAAGTGGATGGCCCCCACCTGCTCAGTATTTTGCCTGTTGTAGCATACACAGAATGGCTCAGAAGCTCAACCACAGCAGGTTAAAAAAAAATGTGCCAATGGCCCTGGGACACTAACCTGCCTCTCATCAGGCATAGCAGACACCTGGAGAACATATAAATTCTTACGCTCCAGTTTGACAAAGCATGGCCCAGCAGGTCTGGGGTGGGACCCAGACATCTTTATCTTTTAAATGTATCAAGGTGATTCTTATATACATAGTCATTTATCAACCCTTGTAAAACACTGACATATTCAGGGAATTCTTTTGCACAAAGGACCGGTTGGCACAATGCTAACAGTTTTCATGGACTAAACTCTCTGCGGGCCAGTGTTGTGGGCATTATCTTACGGAATCCTCAAGCAACCAGATAAGATATATTCAATCATTGTTCTCATCTTTATAGCTGATGAAACTGAAGCTTGGAGAGATAAGATAAAATAACCTGGCCACAGTAATACTACCTATAAATCAAGTAAAAGCTCGCCAAATCAGGTTACGTGATATTGCAAGTTGAACTTTCAATACTCTCAGTACACTTTTTTCATGCATGATACCTGGAAAGATGATAATTTTGGAATTCATTTCTAGCCTTAAAATTCCATGTATATCTGTAGCCAATTCTTCATGGACTAAAGAAGCATTTGATAAAATTATAATTGGAAGTTTAAATGAATGACTGTATTTATTCTTCTGAATCATCAGAGAAATTAAACAAAATGCTAATTCCATGTTTGCTACATGCAAGACTGATTACACACCTTCAAAATGCAAAATCAAAGGTTAAAAGGGGAGTTGGTTTTTAAAGGAATTTGGTCAAATGGGCACGCACTGATTTTCAAATTCTTGGGAAACTTAAATTAGGGGTCAAGTCCTGAAATGTAAGAGAAAGGAGACAGAGGTAAAGGTAGTAAAGATTCGGGGACTCTGATCTCAAGCAATAGCCCAGAGCGCAACACCTTGGCAGCCGGCCTAAGTCTGCAGGTGAACACATTGGGAGCAACATGTAGAAAGATAAGGACTCCTGAAACGACGGATGAGGGGCGGAGAGGCTCTCTGCTGATAGACTAGGTTTCTAAAAGTAGTCTAGAAAGATGACAGCAAAAAAAACAGACAGCTAGTGAAACTGTAAATTAATTACATCAAAATCAGCATGGACACACCATCATTTCTAAATTCTCACAGTCCACATTGGCTAAGCCCAGGGAGACCCACTGATGAGGCTGTTCAGAAAGTAGTTCTCCCACTACCTCCGTTCCTTTTACAGATACTGGTGTGGAGATTCGCTGCCTAAGAGCAGGGCCTGGGCAGTGGGGTAGCTGAAGCACTTGGGACTGGATTTTAGTGTGGCCTCAGCCTGGCCCTGTAGGGCCTCGAAGCTGTGTACTTTAAATGCAGACTGATTGTGCCGTGCTGGCCCTGCCTGCGGGAAGCACCGAGAGGGCAATTGAGACTGGGCATGGTGGCACGCGCCTGTAATCCCAACTCTTGGGAGGCTGAGTACAGGCAGATCACTATGAGTCCAATCTACATAGTGAAACCCTGTAGACCCTGCAGACCCTGTACTAAATGCAAAAAAAAAAAAAAAAAAAAAAAAAAAAAAGGCAGACTGATTGACCTCAATCCTTGTGCTCTGGTTGACCTCTGAGGAAGATTAGTGGTGAGAAGATGAAAAAGTTTGAGACACAACTTTGCATGATGACAAAGCACCAAACTCACACAGGGCGAAATCTCTATTAGGTCCTCCTTTAGTAAGCAGTGTCTCCTGCTTATGGAAAAAACATACCACTGTGTGTGTGTGTGTGTGTGTGTGTGTGTGTGTGTGTCTATCTGTCTGCCATCTGTCTGTCTGTCTGTTTTTGTGTATGTGCTTTATTAGTTGCCATCTGAATCATCGGGAGGAAGGAGCACATGTTTGTTCTTTACCCTGTCAGGACCAGACCTGGAGTAGCGCACCCCACCTGGGACTGTTCTGGTAAAGCTAGCACTTTCCTCTCCCATTGAGAAAACTCTTGGTTTACTGAGATTTTGGGAAAAGCTTTGGTTTGGTTACTGAAGTCCTAGGATTTCCCTGAGGAGGATGAGAAGGTATGAATCCTAAAGAAGGGTCAGTCTGAGGGTAAGCAACACTTCTGCTGGGGGAGTGGAGCAGAAAATTTCACTGGTTTTGTGCAAAAGAGGACTTTGGTGCAAAGAGGCTTCATCAGAGGGCAATGCTGAGGTGGGTACCTGATGAGAAGTTGATGTTGAGGATGGTTTTCTGTTGGCTTGTGAGCCCAGTCCTACTTGGCACTATGTTTGAACCTTTTTCCCCTCATATTTTGATTCTTATTAGTTAATTCCTAGAACTGTGGGCAGAAGCAGAAGAGGCTCCAAAGGAAAGTATGATCTCTTCAGTTTGTCCTCTCTGCTGAGCCCTGTGTGGAGCTGGTATCTTCATGTTGCAGGGGCTTGGTTTTAAGACTTACAGGAAGTGATCGGCAGCCCATGGACAATGTCACAGTGAAAGTCACTGTCATGAAGAAAAGCTTCAGTCAAGAAGAAGTAGCTCCAAGACACAGTTAAAAGACAAGTATGAGCCAAACAGAGTGGTGCACACCTGTAATTCCAGCACTCAGGAGGCTGAGGCAGGAGGATTACCAGGAGTTCAAGGGCAGTCTGGTCTACATAGTAAGTTCAAATCCAGCCTGAACTAGATAGCAAGACCCTCTCTCAAAAGGCAAAAA